AGAAACTTGCTGGAAAGTCTCAGAGTGTGGGGTGTACTTCTTACCAACATGGTGAAGGATTATTCAACATGCGTGGGTGTCCTTACATAGCCACTGATTCCAACATCAGCATATTGTGACATCTGTGCGAGTCCACATGCCAAGGAGTTATGAGGCAGCAGTCTGGTTTCATTGGAACTCATCCTTATCATACTCCGTCCAGTGGACATGAAACTATGCTGGCATCGCAGTACGAGAGTGGTTGAAAGAAAAAAAAAAAGGTTTCCAAAAGTGTGATGTGGTTTTTAGGCATTAGCTAAATAACATTTTAGACTAGATACATGTGGAGTTTTGGCATGTCCCAGTGTCAGTTAAAGACCAGTTCCTGGTTTTAAAATTTAAAATGTCTGGCTTTAAATTTGCGTCTGCATCATTGCTAATGGAAGGAATAATTTTTGCAATGATCGATGCTACCCCAATTTGAACAAGCAACTGATATATGTATATTCAGCCTAAAGCAATATTGTTAACATGCATATGTACTGAGAGGAATTACCGTCATATGACTAGCTACATAAAAATCTATGTAACATTGATTTCTTTCCCTCCTATTTTTCCATTTGACATTTGTACTAAACCTTGTTTGGCATTTCAGGGTTAAAATGCAGATGCTGTAGGATATGAATGAAAGTGTATTGACTTTTTGTTGTAGAAAACAAAAATGCAATCTAATTTTTTCCTCTATACACACACACATACCTTTCTATATTCATGGGGATTTTGGCATGAGAAAGTTAAATTTATGGTCAGGGTACAGAAATGAATGGAAGTCTAACTCTAAACCTAACCTAAATTTATACCTTAAATCCTAAACCTAATCCCTCCCACCGCCCAAAAAAAACACAAAAAAAACAAAAAAACTCTCCCATAAAGTCCCATAAAGACTAGTGGGTCCCCATAACGTAGCGTTTGTTGGGAAAAAAAAAATGATGGGCCTTCCAATGTATCACACACACACACACACACTCCAGTTCTGTGGAGGCTGTCCAAGAAAAAGCTGTACTGCGACCTCATCCATCAATTGACCAATCACAGCTAGCCAAAGAAAAGTGAATGTCCCTTCAAAAAAAGAACTCAGGAAAGCTCACATGAAGCTGGGTTCAACAGAAGCACTTTTACTAGCAAACTGTTGGGGCGATTTATCTTCTTGCTAAAGTACTTTGGAGTCCAAGAGGTGGAGGGTGGCTTCCATCACGTCAGACCGGACATTATCTAGACTGATGCGGTAACGGAAGCCACCTGGGCTGTTGACCCTTTCAACGGAGATTTAACTGTAGAAACCTTAAAGACTCAAAACAGACATAATGAAACCAGAAAGGAAGTGGAGATTCATTTTTACCTTCCATCCATCTGCACACTGCTCATAAATGTCAACCCTAGAGAAATTGAATGGCCCCATTTTTCTGTGTTTATTAGACCGAGATGAACTCACTCTTTTCGACCTTTCAGTGTACACACGCAGTTAATTGAGTATAAGGCAGGCCCGGAGTTCTGGAAGCAAGTGGAGCGCTGGGCAGGAGGATCCCCGCGGATTTATCGCCTCGTTTGAAGAAAAAAAAAATGGAGGAAGTTCCTCACAAGACAGACAGGAGTCCAGCAGCAGAATGTCAGTTCTTTATTAGTTGAATGAAGTCTTAAATGCCAAAGCATCACTCTACCATAAGGTATTTCTGAGATGTACTACGACTTCAACAATGAGCTGCTTGGGAATATCAGGACTATTTTAAACTGTAACTTGAGCTCAAACTTAAACAGACTCATTTAAAACTTTTTGTATTTGCTTTTAGATCTACATCTGTCCGACTGGAGCAGATTAACCACTAGGTGTATCCAACTCACTGCTGAGCAAGCTGATAAGTTGATGGTAAATCCAGTGGTTCTACTGTGAATCACTTCCTGTTCCCAGGAACTGCCCTCTTTCTCTGGACCTGGGATTGTCCTCCTACATACACACTCTAAAATGTGTATCTATGGTTGTCATGAAGACGGGGAAAAAACAGCCACCTTAGCTCTCATTAAGTGGCTCATGAGAGTTTTAAACTGCTTCTACACTAGTTTCCTTCAGCATACAGCTAGGATGCTAGTTCAAGCTAATGCTAGTTTCATCATAAAAAGGGAGAATTCAGTTTCAAGCTGTCATTTTAATAAATCTCTAATCTTAAAACATTTTCACTTATAAAAACATAATGCCTGCTGCACCGTCACACTACACTTGAGATTTACTGAGAAAAAAACTAAACAAAAAAACGAGGAAATCAATGTATATTTTTCTGTCCACTTAAAATGTATGGATTACTTTGCATTGGTTTATCACATAAACTCCAAATATTAAAAACTTTTAATTACATAATTTAAAGTTTTTAAGATCTTAAACCAAATGGGATTTGCTAGTTTTTGTGTCTTAGAAAGACCAATCATTGTTAAACACAAATGTATTTCTCTTCATCTTATGACTTCTAAAGCTAATTGAACTTATTCACAAATAGTAATTGTATATCAAGTTGTCAAAAGTCAAACACGTTTTGCAATTTTTTTGTCCATGGCGGCCATATTTGCTCAGAACTGAACTGAGTTTAGGTCTTTTTCCTGACCTTCAAGTTAGTTAGAACTTATAGCTTCCAAATACAACAAAGGCTTTAAGTATTAAGAACTTAAAAAAAAAAGGAAGAAAATGAACAAATTGTTGACTAAAAGTCTAAGAGTGAAATAGCATCATTGGCTAAAGGTCAAAACTCCTGATAGATGTGGGGAAAAGTGCAGCAATGAAAGAAAAATCTGAATGGGAAACATTGAAATATTTGTATTTGTTAAGAGGAAAATTGCATAATTACAGACTTAGCATCACAGGTTAAAAAGCTCCACACACAAAAAATAGTAGTTTACAAGCTCCAGCATACAAAAGATAACAGTCCAAAGCAGCTCTCCTTTAACACAGATTTGCATTCAAGGCACTTCCTCCGTTTCATTCATCTAATTCTCCAAATCTGCAGCTTCTGTTGTGTTCTTTCACCTTCTCCACTGGCTTTAAATCAATACAAAACACAAACACATATTCAAGCTCCATCTTGCATTCCATAATACATCGTCCACACGTCACATTATTCACCAGACAATCTGTCTCAATCCAGCAAGCGATCATTTCTCCTCCTCCCAGACTCGTCTGGCAGCAGAACAGCAGCTATAGACAAAAAACGCCTCTGACTGCTGGGGACGTCCCCAGCAGACACCAACACCCCCCATCCCACCAACCCAAACCCCTGCCTGGTGTCTGTCAATATCCATCCACAGACGCTGCGTTTGTTTACAACGCTCTCCACAGACTGAATCCAAAGCCTTTAATTTCAACACTGCAGTTTTTATTCCTAAGGATATTCTGCAGATATTACTGTAGACATAGAGAAAGACAACATGCGACTACAGTTTAATGCTGCTGGGACTCCTGAAGGCCATCCGTCTGAAAAAAAGTATTCACACCAATTATTTCATCATTTTACAAGTAAAAACTTCACTGAATTTTAATTGGAATGTTTCTGTGACAGAGTAGAGTGTGCTTGTCAAGTAGCAGGAAAAAGATGCGTGGTTTTCAAGTGTTTTGTTTACAAGTAAAATACTGCATTTCTAATCAGCAATCCCTTCAATCTGATACCCTTAAATAAAATGAAGGGCATCCTGAATTGCATTCAGGAATCACTAAAATCACAGACAGACTAGTGTCTGTCTGTGATTCAATCTCAGTATGAATCCATCAAATAGAGAAAAGAGCATCATAAAGACTAAAATACAGCAGACAGGTGAGGCAGAGACTTCATCAGGCTCCACCGAGTTCCTTCGTTGTGGGAGGAAGTGATGAGCCGATACTTGCATGTCAAACTATGACTGCGGGACGTGGCTTAAAAATAAAATCTGATTTTTTTTTTTTTAAATAGCAATTTCAATTTTATTTGGTTGTTTCCTCACTTTTCAAAATTACCAGTGACAGAATTTTTATTTTTTTCAAAACTGGCTTTTACTTTAAAAATTCCGTCTGTGAATTGACCTGAATTCAAGGTTGAAATAAATAGAAGCTATAAAACATTATTTTTTAGTAAAATAGCTTGAGTGGGTTAACGTCACTCAAGCTATTTGGTGAAAAAGAATGTGTAGGTGAGAACTGATGGACGGAATGAGGCAAGAAAAACTGCTGGAGGACCCAACCAGACAGCCAGAGCTACGATGAAATAATTAAAAAATAAAAATTAAAACCTCAAACTACCTTTATCTGACAAGATAACTACAAAAGCATGCCACACCTTTCAGAATATTTACACAAAACCCTTAAAGCCATGCATCCTTTCCATTTCATAATAATGTTCCTCCATCATATAATATTCCAGTTACACATTAATAAAGCTTCAAACAAGTTCAAAAAGAATAAATACTTTTTAAAGGCACCCCTCCATTATTAGCATTACCTAAAGTAATGCAGCATTCCTGTCTAACAAAGCTTCATTATCATTTCTGTCATGGCTAGCGCGCGCGCTGCTCGTCTCCAGACGCGCTCGCGCACGCACTAGTGCCGGACTCCCTCAGAACGGACGGAATAACGCACAGAGGCACTAATGAATCCAAAGTAGTTTTCTACAAGTTAATCAGCACCGTTGTGGCTAAAGTACGAAGCATTGTGGGAGTTGACCGACAAAATGCCAGGAATCCGGGCGCTGTGTGACCTGGTCGGAGGATAAGGTGTCATGACAACAAAAGCCCATCTAGCGCGCGTGCAGATGGAGCACCTGGACGTGTAAAAAAAAACAAAAAAAAACAGCTGCCTTCCTGATCCTCCTGTCTCAATAAGTTGTTTTAAGGGGGGACTGGGCGGAGGGGGGCTGATGGATGCTGGAAGGTGATAAATAGGAGAGGGGTGTGAGTAGGGGGGTGGTGGTGGGGAGCCAGCGGCTCGTGACGGGACGGGACGGGTTACTCACGCTGCTGTTCTCTCCCGTCCAGTGGACCATCGCCTGGTTGTGCGTCGCATCTCCTTTCAGCACAAACGAGCTGCTGAGCAGGGACATCCGTTTATCCCAGGACGCGGCTCTCCTGGCGCGCGGCACCCCGCCACCGCCGCCGCCGCCCGCGTCAAACGTCCGATCCTCCCCGCTACCGCCGCGCCGGCTAAAAGACCCGCTGTCCCCCTGCACGGCTCCGGGCAGCGCCGTCCACACCGCCGCGGCGGTCAGCAGGAAGATGCAGAGGCTCGCGGCGGCCGCAGAGACCGCTCGTTCCGGGCGCAGAGTTCCCATCGCCTTGCTGGTTTATTTCTGTGCGCCGTAGGAGCGCGGAGACTGATGGAAGAGGCAGCTGATGCTTGTGGGAGACGGATAGGTGCACACTGGAAGCTGGAGAGGCAGAGAGTGAGGGTGGGACGCTGAATAGGGGAAGTGGAGCGAAAGCACAGTGTGAACAACGTGGACGCGTCTCCGAGCCAAGAGTTGTCCGCAGGAACGGCGCAGCGGTGCCATCTGCCGTCCTGCAGCTGCAGCGAGCCGCCGCCGCTCCACTCAGTCCGTCCTCATGTGGAGTCAGTGGGGGTTGGGCGGAGTTGAGCGGGGGGTTCACATGTACGGACCCGCCGGTGGGGGGGGGGTTTCTAACGCGGGGCTGCCCAAAATTGTCAGCTCCAAAGAATGGCTGCGTTTACGGCCGTTGTAGGTAGAAAAAGGAGGAAATTTCCCTAAAAAAATAAAAAATAAAGTAAATCCAACAGATATTCTGAGTTTATTGAGAAAATTTTTGATTTTCAGATTTTGTTTTGGCAAATCTTTTAAATTTTTCCAATTCAAATCCAATGTTTTGTTTTGAGAAGATAATCTAAATCAGAATTTCAGTGTTGTTTTTTTCAGCAAATTTGACTTCTGAATTTCATATTTTTTTTTTTTTTAATGAAAGTTGAGATTGTACATTGTATAAAAGTACTTGTGGGCCAAAAAAAAAAAAGTTTTTCAACCTACTCAACAATAAACTAAACAAGAAATATTTTTAGTGAAGCCAGCAATCTGATTTTTCTGTGGGAGCGGGATTGTAGATCCAAAACACAAAATGGTTTTTCCTTGTTAAATGAAAGGTTGCTTTGCTTATTACTTATCGTTTTCGGCTAAAATGAAGAAAAGTGAAAACAAAGAAAATGGTCTATTCTCAGCAATAAAACCAAGATCTAGATCAGAGGGTTCCATTTTGGATCAAGCTGGATCAATCTCTGGTTGTTTTAGGTAGAAATTGATTTTTTTTTATTCTTTTTTTTTATATTTTAATTAAATGATCAACATAATAAGACGACCTCAAAGGAATCTCCAAAACGATTAGTCCAAAGAGTTATCTGCATGATGTTGTTGGACCAGTTCAGGCTATGTTGGTGGGAAAAGAAGGGGGTTAAAGTTCACACTTGAGTCAACAAAATAATATCCCCCCTCCCCCCCACTGGGTGTGTCTTCCTATCCAATTATGATTAGAACATGGATTAGGATTTACTTTGTGGAGGGGAAATCTGATGTTTTCCACGTGAACAAGGCTTTACCTTTCCAGACTGATGTCATGTTCTGTTTCTGTTGATCTGGAGCTAAATGTACAAAGGGACTGATTGTGTAACATCTGCCAACACCGTACCCATCTGGCTTTTATTACAGTTTATCCACACTCTAAGAAATAATCCTGTAAATTTACAGTCAAATGCTGGCAGCTATAGACGCCAGAAGTTTACTGTAAATGCACAGTAGCCGTACCGTAATTAATCCTGACAGTAGATTACCGTCAATGCAAGTACGGTATAGATACTGTGAAAGAACGGTAAACTTCTGGCGTCTGTAGCTGCCAGTAGTTTACCGTTTTTTTCGAAAGAACGGTAAAATGGAACTCATCTTTTGTTTTTTGTTTTTGAAAAAAAGATCTTTATTGAGATACAGAATACATAACAGTATAAACGCAGCATACATTGTGGTATAATGTCCGCCAGGGAGTTACAAACATTGAGACAATACATCACCATTACATTACATAAATACATTAAAGAGAGACCATCAAGAGCATGTTTTAATAGCTTTGGGGAACTTACCTTGTTATGAATAAGCTCCAGACAAGACGCCATACTGCTGTCTCACGGGCAAACACGTGACGTCGCGATTGTGGGAGCAACTCTTTAGCAAACACCATCTCTTTAGGGAAACTGACAAACCTATCTTTGAATTTACTAAACAAGTGTTTAATTAACATTGTATTTTTAACAAACAACACCAAGACTGGTAATCTAACACTGTTGATTATGCTCTGTAGATTTCAATTCATTCCCTAAAATATTTATTATGGAAAGTATTTTTTTTTCTTTCCGTTTAATATTGTCTTTAAATGCTGGTTCTCTAAGATGCAAATACAAGTAAAATGTCTTGCCTAGGAAAAAAACTGTATTGTACAATTATTTTGCGGTAGTTTACTGCCAGTCGTCAGTCTTGATTGTGACAACAGAAGAAGACATCAAATTGACAATATCCTACCGTATTTTGGAACAACCGTATGTTACTGCTGGAATTTCGCCGTAAATTTACAGCCATTTCTAAGAGTGCATATGCTGATAGAGTGCTGCTTGTAAAGCTGCACTGTCAAAATAGTTTGTAAAAACTGAATACTTAGCTTGCTAATTAAATGTTTAGTTTGAATCACATTTATTAATTAATGAATGAACATCATAGGGAAAATATGACTTCAGAAATGAAGTTACATCTTATGACAGGCTAAATAACCCAAATAGTTGCCGTTAATTTTTTTGACTTTTAAATTATCCCATGTAGAAAAAGTACAAATGTTGGTTACATTGTGTCATAAATCTGACTTAAAGAACAAAAAACAACAACTTAGAATTCAAGAATCTTGAGCAGATCCAGTTTCTGAATTATTTCATGGCATTCTGCTACTGTAGGAGAATAAATTCAAAAATCAGCACAGAACAACACATTTGGACCTGCTGCATTGCACAGAAAAATTTGACTATCGTTGCGGGATTCTAACTTTTTTCCCTTAAAGAAAGATATCTGGTTTTAGTGACCAGTTTGGGCGCTGAAAGCATGGTCTTGAATTATTTACTCGTGTGAGCCCTTGTGATGTTGCTGCAGGTCGGGGATGAAGGGGGAGAGAGTTGTTGGCTCAACTAACCTCAGATCAGTTCCCAGGGTGGCATCACAGCAGCACAGCCAGTTTGAATAATTAATGGCAGTATGGGCAGGAGTTGCATCAACATCACACCAAAACCAGGTTTTACCTCATGACAGCACCATAAAGATTCTGAATGCATGTCCACAAACACACAGAGAGAGTTTTTACAAACTAAACCCAAGTTTCTCAATGTGAGAAGTGTCTCAGTAAATGTGAAGGTTCCTGGAGACGAGCACAAGTTTTTACATTTAAGTCACAGGTTTGGCTAAAGACAAAAGTCAAGCTAAACCGAGTCATATGCAATTGCTACATTGTTGGCAACTAGTTACTTTTCCATTGACCGTAGAAATTGATATTACAAAAATTTGCTCGATAGAAACGTAGCAATTTGGGGGAAAAAAATAATATTTTTTGATAAAAAGTTCTTGCGCTGGGATGAGGTTATTTTTCCAACCATATCAAAGTAGATGTATTTAGCAAAACTGCAATGGAAACACTTCTCATACGACACGAGTCACGTGATCAACAACCAATGTTACTACTGGTGGAAACGTAGAAGAAGACAACAGGAAGGAAGACTCAAATAGGCAGGGCTTGTAGCTCCAACACCTAAACAATGACGTCTCCTCTGATGACTGAGCGCTAGCATCATGGCTGAATGATGAATCTCTATGTCTATACAACATTCAGCTCTTCAGAAAGTGACCCACACCGCCATGACTGACATCAAAACAACATGTGTCAATACCAGAAAAGCTCATCAATAAAACAGTTGTTAGCCCATTTAGTTGATTTCACTGTACAAATAAAAAAAATAAAATCAGAGCTCTGAAAACCAGACAAGAATATAAAACTTATTTTATTGTAAAGGACTGACAGGTCTTGGTATATTTGTGGATTTGCAGTCAACGTTTTTTTTTCCCAGTCAAAAAGATTTACGTTCCTATACTTTATAAGACTATTAAAATGCAATCAAACGTAGCTTTATGGCAAAAGTACACCTCTAATCATTGGTAACCATGGTTAAAAAAATTTTATTAAAAAAATCATCATGAAGCCTCGCATGTACGAAAAAGAGATTAGCATCTAGACTTTTGAACGCTTTGAAGTCTGCTCCAGTATCAGAGGAAATGCCATTTTTGACATAGTGACATAAATCGTCTGGAGGGAGAAGGTACAGGTCGGTTTCTAAGCTAGCCAATACCACTGTGCTAATTTGTCTGTGCTACTTTTACAGACAAATTAGTCCAACTTGAAGTTGAACTTGAAGAAGCTATGGGAAAAACAACTTGGAAAAATAATCTACATATAAAACACTTCAGGCCTTAATGGCCTAAGATGAGGTCAACATTTGAAAGCCACCAAACAACATTGGCATCAGTAGGAGAATTCCAAGTCAAAAAGCAAAAACCTGTTTCACATTTGCCCAAAAGTGTACCGGATTTTAGGAAACAGTGCCAACCCAGCATTACTACCGTTGTTTTACTGTAGAACTTACTGAAAACTGAAACAATCCAATATATTTTAGTAGTTTACAACTCTGTTAAACATCTTCAGGAATACAGACACAGGCCTAGCCTGGAAACCTATGAACACATATTCTCTGTTTGGGAAACATCCACCGGTAATTTCTGACTGAACCAAATGAGCAGCAGATTAATTAGGGAAATTATGTTGATTGCTACATGTTTTAAAAAACAGATGAAATCAGTGTTCTTAGCTGCTTTTGGGAGAAATCTCTGCAGTCTGCGTGGTATGCGGTTGAGTCTGTGTCCTTGGAGAACCTCATTTACACTTCAGTGACGGCAGCATTAATGCACAACGCTGCAACATGCTGCCTTTGAGAGCACATCTTCCACTGGGTTTCTATGCATTTTTCAACAAGTCAATAGAAAAGCACATTCTACAGATATACCTGGGCAAAAAGAAGTGGCCAAACACGTACTGGAATTATAAACTTCTCAGTACAAGGTTGAGACCAAAAACTGACTCCAGAAAATTCAGAAAGGTTTTAGAAGAAGCCACCAGACATGTTTCTGACAAGAAACGTATTCAACGCCATCCAAAACGTCACACAGCATCTGTAATTTCACAAATATTTTGACCTTTTCTGTTCCAGAACATAAAAAAAGACAACTTTTCAGTGCTTTCCATGACATTATCCAAGCTCTACCAGAAATAAAGTTTTGAAAGTCTTAAAACACTTTATAATTTTTTATTACTTTCACTTTGGACATTAAATGTGCACCAAGTATCAGCAACTGTCATGGTGTGGGTTTTGTGAAAGAGTTAAGAACAGATATATTTTAGTTGCAAAAAGAAAGTTCTTGAAAATTAAAATGAAAAACAGACTTACTAAATCGCTGGTGGAGAGCCAGAGAAAACA